CGTTATGTTGGGTTTGAGGTTGCTGCAATCGATCCAACAAAGAAACAAAAATGTATTAATTTCCTTAAATTCCAAAAAGGAGGAGGATTTGGGATTTTATTTTAACTTTGCATGGCGATCGAAAAATCTCGCTATCCACGTAGGAAATTATAATAAGGCATGTGCCGCCGCTCGCCCCACTTCGCGGTAATATATATCCACCTACTACTACTAGGCCTAGACAGGCCTAAATTTCGGTACTTCTTCGGCCGAACACCTTAAGGTGGTACTTAAATCGGCTTAATTACGATGATAATAAAAAAAAAAAAAGGAAGGATTTTCAAGCAGCAATGATTTATAAAATGGTACAATGTTGCACTTAGCTGTTAAATTATATAACTAAATTTCCAGAAAGCTACATGAAGAATCAGTCAAAGGTAGCTTAAATTATAATTAAAAATAAAAATTGAATCCTCCAATAAAAGCGAAAACTTGTCCAAGGAGTCCTGTGCTATGCAAACATGCCCAATTGTGCTTTACAAATCAATTAATTGTGCAACTAAAGATTTTAAAGATAAAAATATATTTTAAAGATACAGGCCTAATTGTATTATAATAAATTGATTGTTTTAATACATATTTTAAATCAAAACGTTTAAATGTTTTACAAATCAAAATTTCAATGAATAGTAAATAATAATAATAATAACAACAACAACAACAACAACAACAATAATAATAATAATAATAATAATAATAATAAAAATAATAATAATACAGTAATAATGATAATATTATAACTCACTAATATTATTAACAGAAGTGTGGAGAATACTGCTATTTTACTTACAAGGCCTAGCTTCTTGATTATGAATGATTAGGCATATGTTGTACACAAATTTCTTTCAATGCAATAATTCTTCAACTTTGATTTATTGTTTAGATTACAATTTACAAATATGCCTAGGCTATTTGTATTGGTTTGAAGATGATGACCAGCATATAATATTTCTTAAATTAAATTTTACGAAGTAATAGGCCTAAAGGCCAGTTAGATACAATTATAAAACTTTCACGTTATTAATATTTTTATCATTCATTTACAGGCGAAATTAACATATTATCGCCGACGATTCACAAACCTACTCTGTCTGCACAACCAACCTTTCTCCTCTGCAGTGTTGACTCTAGGAACCTCATGCTATATAGAGGAGGCTGAAGGTATAGGCCTAGGCATAGGCCTAGATGATAGACTTTCAAAACAAAAAGATAATCGTAACGAAAAAAAAAATAAAGAATCGTCCTCACTTTTATCTTCTCGAAATAGTACAGCACGTCACTGATTAATTAATTCCAAAGTTAGGTAATGATTATATATATGATATTTACAATGATATGTTAAAATCCCATAATTGAATTGTCCTCATGAACAGAATAATGAAAGAAAGTTTATGCAGCATCAGTGTTTTATAAAATGTTATAAAGCTATACGCGCGCACGCTGTTTGGTGACAACATGGCGCCCATGCGCCAAGTTGGCCAAACTCTCTCTATATGCTGTATCTACGGCTCTGAACCCTGCGTCCAGTAAGGTTTGTGAGCATGCGCAGATGTCTGTTACGCCCTATTAGTTCGTAGTAGACTGGCCGCGTAGTCAAAACGAGAAATGCCTATTATAATAAATACAGGAACAATGTTGGTAATATTATATAATATTATAATATTATTCAAAAAACAACAGATCGAAATAATAGTCAGTTTCGGCTCCTTAGTAATTTTGGAGCTTGTCGTTTCTTTGGAGCAAAAGCAAAGAAGACGTTTACCTGCTGATCGTTGTACTTGCTTATACATTCTATGCCTTCTTGCAAGATATTATTTTGTCGAATGGTTTTTTTCAGGAATCAATTATTGGTGCTCCGTCTTTTTCCACATTTAAAGATATTGATTTTACATAAATGTGAACAACAGGGAATGAGGTATATATATTCAATATTTTCAGAATAAATAAAAATTAGATGAGAACACAGTTACTGTTTGTAAATAAATAAAAATTGGCTTATATTTTACATCCATATACACAAAATGTAAATTTATTAATTTATTACCTATAAGGTGCCTTTTCAAAAAGTACCAGAGCATCGTACATACACAAACATTCATAAAATTTAAATCCGAAAATTGCATAAATATTAAATAGGATCTTACAGTGTCCGAAAAGAATGTGGTAGCTTTAAATTAATTTACGGCCCTGTAACATCTAATTTATTATTCCGTAACATTTCACAAGATCCTGAACGTTTATACAAAGTAGAACTACCTAGTGGACTGTAGTATTATTGCGATGATAAGGGTTTAAACACCAGTAAGCATTTCCATCGTTAAAACAGACACTAGGATTATTATGATCCAGTGGTGGTGTCATGATCAAAAGTTTCAAAAGTACTGTGTGAATCTTGTTAGACAAAATTTGTGATCGACCATCTCACAGCTGATTGTCAAGGCCAGCTCAGATGTTGAATTCCGTTTCTCTTAATTATTAGATGACCAGGGTCCACATTTTGGGAAACTTTCCGGTGGTCGTGCAATCTCATCATCCTCGCCTACTTGTATTACCATAGACATTCCGGACTGTTGAAAGAGAGATAGTTGAAATGTAAAGTATAACATGGTTGGAAATTATGTCATGTATTTACTGATGAAGGGCTTCTGTTTTCTGTAAACTCTGATTCTCATTGCTTTTTCAAGGTAACACAGAAGACCTCTAATGGTGATGTATACTAGAAACTGTAGAATGTTGAGCGAAGGTCCTAATCTTAACAGGTATACCACAAGTCTGTAAGACTAATAATCTCTCTCACTACTCTTTGTCAAAGTCAAAACAAATAGTATACAGTAGTACTCTACAGGAGTATTGTAAATCGATTGCGAACCAATATGTGAGAGGAGAAATAGTATTATTTTTAGATTGAAATAACACACTGGAATATAAAACTTAAGCAATTCAAATATAAACTTTTATTATCAAGCTTCTTATGGTAGCTCAGATTTTGAAGTAAATTAGTTTATGCTCAACATTAAAGTACAATAAAACAAAACACAATGGAGGTTTTGGAAATTTTGCATTAAATCTGTCAACCACGCTGTCATGGTCGAGGTTGCTTCACCTATCACGATGTATTCCAACCATCATGAGGCTATCTAAATGAGCATTTGTCATAACAGAACGCAAATTATTTTTAATTAGTTTCATTGAATTATTATTATTATTATTATTATTATTATTATTATTATTATTATTAATATTATTATTATTATTATTATTATTATTATTATTATTGTTATTGTTGTTGTTGTGATAAAAAGTTAACACAAACAATATGGTGGCTAAACGAATATTACATGTAAATATATTTTTTTATCTGTTTGTTCCCCGACAAAATATATCGTCTTCCCCGAAAAATCATCATTAATCATTTATAGCTGTAGCACATCCTCCATGTTTAAATACGGTACACAGTGGGGTTGCCCTTTCTCTAATGCTCTTATGTTTTATAATCTAGGTTTTGGGCATAATTATTATGTTGTAATGGGTCCACATTGTAATAGTTTTTGTTATCTATTGAGTTATTCCGAAATAAAGTGAAATGAATGAATTGTCTATTAGGAACTTATTCCTATCCCTACAGATCTACAGATTGGCTAGCATCTTACCTTCTTCATCAAGTTGTTTGACTTCCTCTAACGTCCTTGGTACCCCATCGAATACGCCCATACCTACGATATGGACGGCCTGGCCATGTATATGTGCCGGGTGATCGAGGACAAGATTTCTACTTAGATTTGGTATCACTAATTCAACAACCTGAAAAGTAGTATTATAAAAATAATAACACCAGTCTAAATTTGTTTATAGTATATTACTATTAATTAATACTTTCATACTCTCTTTTATTTTGTTTTACTATATGTACTGAGGGTCCTTAATGATCTTCTTCGGCTGGATGGACGAACTTCATTAAAGATTGTTGAAATAAAATAAATAAAAAATAAATAAAATAAAGATATGACTGGATCGACTTTTGCTTTCGTTATAAAATTAATGAATATTGTGTAATAGAGTTACACAAAAAAAAATACATTTGTTTAAAATAGCAGCTGTTACGCATGAAATAATTGATATGATTTATGTTATTATTTAAAAGAAAAGATTATTATGATTATTTTACTAACTAAACTAAAACGAGATCATGATTAATAATCTGGTTGGTACTGGCATCAGACAACATTGTAACTATCAACAAATGTGGGCAATATCTTGTGTTTGTGCTTACATTCGTGCCTATAATGATAGCTGCAAATAGGTGTAACAATTCACTTCAACAATTATGACTTATTATTTATATACAACTCATGTATAAATGTTCAACTCATGTAGGCCTATATAAATGTATATATGATATTTATAAGTATGTATGGAATGTAATTTGTTTCTGAATCTGCATCTGGTAATCAGATTTTCTAAAGAACTACTAAAAAATCGAATTCCCCTGTAATTGTGTGTAAAGAATATTTATTATTAATAGATGTCATCAGGTGTACCACAAAGGATACAAAATATTTTTTTTTTTCTTTTGTGGGGTTATCCCACTTTTATTTCTTCTCATATTTAATCATTACATAATTTACAATTTTAATAGGTTTTATGTAGTACTGTGAAATATCCACTATGAGTATTTACAAAGATAAAAATCACTAAAAAATACAAAATATAATATTAAAAAATATTAGCGAAGTGGCCTATTATATAACAATTGTATTTAAAGTAACCAGAAAAATTTCACTGTTCCCTGAATTAACTCATACCTCTCCTAGTTTTAACTTCAAAATGTGTGTACAATAGCAATCCGTAATGTTACACTCCTCCATCAGTGTGTTGTTTAGATGGGGCTCACATATATCATTCGGCCTTTGCAATAGGACTGGTGTTGATGGGAATAAGAAGCCGACATTGTTGAGCTTTGGTACGCTTACGGTAAAGCTGTTACCGGTCGTGCCTTCTTCATAAACCGTCTTAAGTACAAAAGAAAATGTGACGTAATGCGTAGAGTTTACTGTTTCGAGATCCTCATATATTTCTTCTGGTAATAAAAAAGGAATAATACAAAATTATTTAAATAAAAAGCTCATAAAATCTTTATAAATTGTTTTTACATTACTAAATATATGTGGTAGTATAAAGTAGGATAGTCCAGTAATGGTAAGTGCTTTGGGGAAGCATCTGGATTGTGTGCAGTTGTGATAATTGTTGAATAATATTGATATGCAAGTGTTTGACATGACATGCGCTTTTTACAAACTCAATGAGCTTCTAACTCAAATAAATATTAAAAACTTAGAAGCAAGGAAAATATCACAAATGAAAAACATTTCACACAAATAAATTAAATGGAAATATAACAGATTCATGAATTGAATCTTCTCAAATCAACTAGAGCATGTCAATGACCAGATATTAATGTGTTTAATTTTGTCATAATATAAAAATATAATCGATGTCATTTACGCATTTTGCATAGGCTAATTTGACCAAGATATATCACGTGTTCAAACTCAGACAATAAATTAAATTATATAGTTGCGTCAGGTTAAAAATTTCTTTCTTTTTCACTTATTGGATATCTACGGCATTTATTAATGCATACATAGCCCCATGGGCCGAAGTAAACCCCTAAATTGTCAAAATTTTCGGGGCCTTCGCCCCCAGGACCACTTTCGAAACCTTTTAATCGTCAGGGCGTCGACCCCCCTCCCGTCGGGACTTCGCCCCC